AAACGCCACAAAACGGCAGGAGTGGGAGGCCGAACGTGGCTACTCACTCCCACCATTCTCGCCCCTCCTTGCCACCGATTGGTGCCACCCGTGGGTGCCAATTGGGTTATCGCGGCTGGCAACATTCGTCACCTATAAAGCGCCCAAGCGGGAAGCACGCTTCGCCATGCATACAGCGAGATCCGCTGCAGATCTTGCACCTCCCCCGGCCTCCTGGGGAGGCCCGCTGCCCCAGCCCTTCTGTAGACACACCACCCGTCCATTGCGAACCAACAAGCTCGCCGAAACGGAGGCACGCCGGTGCCTCCGTCTGCAACATTGCGGAATCCCCTTCTAGCCCACGCAGGCTCGGGCTATGTGCAGGCATCTGCGCCCTGCCGGATTTGGAACCACGATCTGCAGATCCCCCCACTCCCGTCGCCACGCGAGCACTAGGAATCCTCGCCGATGCTCTCGATCCCCATCCGCGTGGGCGCTGAATGCAGCCGCCGCTGCCGGACGCTCCATATGGCCTCGCGCGACGGTGGAGGGGCGCACAGCCCCTGTCTTCGTTGCTTTGCGTCGCCCAAGGTCGCACTAGTGAGGCAGGCGAGTCGCCTTGGGCGAGTCAAGGTTACGGATGATTTGGTACTGGGCGCAGCTATGTTTGGTACTGGGAGCAGCCGTTTTTGGTACTGGGGCGATTTGGTATTGGCGGCAGCCGTTTTTGGTGCTGGAAGCAGCCGTTTTTGGTACTGGGGCGGATTTGGTACTGGGAGCATTCACTTTTGGTACTGGCTGAAATTTGGTACTAGAAGCAGCCGTTTTTGGTACTGGGGAAATATATCTTCAATGAATATGTAAAGTTCGGTGAGCCCATTTCAACACCATGTGAAGCAATGAGTACATCCCCAAATCCTCAAAGCTCTAAAATACTTTTAAGGCATCCAACGGAAGCTTGTATCCCAAACAATGTCTTTACATCCTTAGGAATCAAAGAGAGAATGAAACTTATCCCAATTCCTATCAAAGTTTTGTTCCCAACAACAAAGTGTTGTGATCTAAAAATTATAACAAAAAACTTTATAGCCAGCTAAATCAGAATAGCAGCAACCTTGCAACAATTCATAAATGGGTTTTGCATGATTATGATATATAATGCAGTTTATATGGTCTAATTTCACTACCTAGATAATAGATATATCTATATGTATAATAGAAATAGTGATGTATGCGATTTGCAATGATAGAGCAAATTGGGGTCCTCATCTTTTTCAAAGTTTTGCACAAATAGGTAATGGAAAACAACTTGGGTTCTCAAGCCTTAAAGGACTTTTACTGATACATGGATGTAAGTCATTCTTATATCATAGATTTTGCTTAAACGTGTGAGTAGCAACACTGGGTAGGAGAGAACTACAATCGTTTCTAGGTTCTGCAAATTATATATATAATGAATTTGTGGAGAATATAAAGCAATGCGCTCAGCATCACTATAGGGAAAGGAGCATCACTATAGGGAAAGGGGCATCTGCAAGGTGCCAAAGGCCTTTGAAATCGCCCAAAGCTTTCAAACGGTTCTGTGCATCCATTGTACATATACAAAATATCCAAGATGCTCGGGTGCATCCTAGCATCAAAGGCATCAAACATCCTGGGGAAAGTGTAGACAAATTGGCACGTCCAGAGAGTGCCCAGACATAGATGCGCTGCATCCGATGAATGCACTGAGCTCGCCCCTTTTCCAGCAATGCATGGACTGAATACTATATAGATAAATGATGAGGCTGGTTCCCTTGGTGACGCCCCGGGCAACACAAGTGCGCACATGGTGTGGCACATTATTTAGGGCTCCCTACAACACCACATCTTGTGTTGACCTAACAATACCTAAGCCCATGCCACCCAATGAGGCGACAAGGCAACAAAGGTATCAAAATTAGGGATATACAGGAGAATAGCGGTTAATTGATAGTGCTACCCATGTGGGTCCAGGCGGGCATTATCTGAAAATATATGGACACCCACTCCCCAAAGGGGACAATCAGGAAACAAAATACGAAATCAAATATCAGCCAATGCTCAAAATATTACATGGCAATGGAACATAATCATTTTGGAGCGTTTCTCCATCATTGACTCCACGTTACCTAGCTACAATTATCTTGTGGGGGTGTCCCCCTTACCGACTTGGCTGCTCTTATCACACTATTGTGCTTCTTGCAAGAGTTGCATTCAAATATAGTATGATACGCTTTCGTCCTTGGTGGGTCGGGACACCAGTACTTTAGGCTTTCCGTAGAAACCACCAGTGGAACAATCTGCCTTAGGCAGGGTTCGAACTCATAGCAAGGTGGGCAAGGTGGACCAGTCTCGGCGTTCGCCACAACGCCTCATCAGCACCCTTGTACTGGAGTTCTCCCATGGGTATTTATAACCTTTTTGCCACATGTGGCTGCTCCCACTAGGCCTCACGGCCTGGACCGTAACATAGTATGGCTACATTTTATGGAATGCGCAATGCCACAATAGCCTCGAGGATTATTAGGTATATTTGGACAACAGTTGACATACAAAATACAGGCTCACATGCTTCTAAAATTTTCCAGAGGGCACAACTTTTGATTGCCACTTGTCAAAATGAGTGCATGTGCTTGCCTTGTGCACACAATATCAAAGTATTTTAACATTCAACATTCAATACCTCATAATAGCACCATTGCACTACCTCAGTTTTGCAAGATGAATATAGAGGTCAAAGTTCTACTCGCCTAATGCCTCACAAGAAAAGATATTGTGCCAATCCTTCACGCTTTGTATTGCAACAAGGAGAGCTCCTTGTTGCATATACAAGATCTTGTATGCCCTTACACCTGGCTAGGACCAAGTGAGCTGTGCCAAAGTCCATGTAGAATAATCCAACCAATCCATGGCATTGCGCTCATCATATTATCCACAACAACGGGAAGGAATTTTTGAGGCATGTATTTGCATTTGTATCCAAAACCGAATTCATGCACCCACGATTTTCATCCTTTCTCATTGAATCTAAAAACCTAGTAAAGTTGTGCCTTCAATACAACCCCCCTTGTGCCACTAAACCCTAGAGCCATTGGAAGAGCACAGGACACCATTTTGAAGGAGGCGTTGATAAGACCGCCATAGTTGCCAACAACACATAAATATTCACACAATTACATGAGCGTTTGTGGGTAAATTGGGTGCCAACAAAATAATGCACAATACGCACAACACTTCTCACCAGTATTCATCAATGAATACGATGCTAAAAATGCACTACCAGGCATGCTTGCACAATTAAAACCCTGTCGATCAGGGCGATGTTCAATATTTGGCATATTGCAATTTTCTTTTAAGCCCAATTCACCTAAAATATTGTGAGCAATTTGTAAATTGTGAAGTGTGATTCATGGGTGAGGATGTCCATTTGCTTCTGCAGGAATCGGAGGAAAAGAATTCACTGGTGGATATGCAGATACCCAGATACCATTGCTCCTTTCCTGAGGGCCGTTGACATGCTCCACATTGGTCACAACTCACACAAAGCTCGGTATCTACTTGCATTCTTAGCGACCCGAAAGCATGGGTTTAGCTTTGCACCAATGTCTTCCCAACGTACGATATGGGGGCAACGTCTGCAAAATCGATGCGACAATTACAAATGTCGTTGCTTGCATCTTGCTAAGCACAAGATTGTGCTTTAGATAAGGACACATGTTTAATAACGGCCTAAACATGTGAAGTGCCAATGGAGGCATTGCCGTCATAACCCATTGGTACAAATCTACACCTCCAAATTTAAATTTGAAGGGTTTGCAAGGCACAAACATTAGAAAGGGAATACTCTTGTTGCTCTCACCCAGCCACAAGAGCAACACCATTGCACAAAAATGTGACGTGAAATTTTATGTCTAGGAAATATTAGCAAACTAATTTATTGTTGAGATCCTCCTTCAACAGCCCCTCCTCCCACTTGGTGTCGTGTCTGCGTTGCCTAGTGTGATTTCATAGGATGCAGCCTGGGCAAACCAAGCGCCAGCTCTATTTTAATGCTCTCCATGCCTTTATCGTTGCTGCCCTCTAGTCTCACACGTCAAACAATATGTGCATGCCACATGGCAATAAGAAGGCCTGGTATGTGATAGATATACACACCTAAAAATCACGCCACCCTTGAGGGGCTGCCGGCAAGTCAGCGCTCCATGCCAGCAAAAATGTTCCATACCCATGCGCCATGTCAGAATTACACTGCGTAGAAGGTAGTGAGTGAGAGGTACCTACTGCCCCGCTACTGTATATCATGTTCTTCAATGCCAATGTCCTCAACTTCATTCCAAGATTTGCATTAGATGCATGCACTAATAAGATGGCACAGTCTTACATGGTCTGCTCAAAATCCAATTATGTGCTTTTGGCAAATGTGGTCCCAAAATCACACAATTAGTATATACATTGACACAATTTCAATCATGTACCTTGGGAAACCGTGTAGTCTACACATTTGTTTGAGGGTACACAGTTGAAACAATGTCAATGTGTGTACTAACTGTGTGGTTTTGGGACCACATTTGCCAAAAGCACACGATTGGATTTTGAGTAGATTGTGTCAAGATTGTGTCATCTGGCTTGTTATTTCCTAGCGATGTTTACGAAGCTCAATGCCTGTGCAACCAAGGGAGAAATGCTAGTGCGGGCATGAAGTTAGTCGCTCTGTCTTTTTTGTGAAGATACCTGCTCTGTTTCGGCACCCAAAACCCCAAGCCACTAAAACCCACTGGCCCACGTTGGCCTTGTCAGCGGAAGAAGGAATCCTCATTAAAGAGACAAGAGGACTGGTATATTCTCGCTGGCGCATGCCAGCACAGGGGAATCCACCACCAATCGGATACCCCGAATTATGGTCCCTTGACATGCGCATTTCCCAAGGCCTCGGGCCGGAAAGCCCACCCCCAGCGTCCCCAAGACACAGACACGCAAACGCGTACCCGACTCGGAAGCCCATGTTCCGCGCGACCAACGTGCACGAGCGCGCGTTCGCGGCGCCGCCCCGCCGCGTGGGCTCTCTCATCGACTCACTGGCATCCCCGTCCGACGCCCTGTGGCCCAAGGCCTGGCCGCCCGTGCACTTCGACCGGCCCCTTGCAGTCGGGGCTAAAGGAGGCCATGGCTCAATTCGATACTTCGTCGAGGCGTACACGCCCGGAGCGTCGGTGAAGTTTCGGTTCACGTCGCCGGCGGGCTTCGACGGTCACCACGCCTTCGAGGTCGTGGCCCTGGACGCGGGATCGGCGTTGCTGCGACATAGGTGAACGCGCGCGGGACGGAAGAATTGACGCGGAGAGGCTGGTTGGCTCCTGCGAACCGCGAGGGCACCGCATTGTTTTGTCGAAGGCACTTTTAGACCAACGCCGTTTCGCCTTGTCGGAGGCAGTTTTGAGCAAAGGACTGCAGCTGGTATACCACATGTGAACAGATGCGGCACAGAAAGCCTAATGTACACACGCCCGTCGTCGCCTGCAAAGTGCATGGGCACCGCTTTGGATTGCTGAAGGCAATTTTGAGCAAAGGATTGCGGCTGCGTCGCAGGGTGGAGGTGGCGCTGAGGGGTTGGGGCGTGGCGCTGTGGCACCTGGCGGTGAGGCCGCTGCACGACGCGGCGATCGAGGACTGCCTATCGACGGGCCGGGCATCACTGGGGCTGGCGCCGGAGGCGCGGCGGTGGTCGCTGTGGGTGAGGCTGTTGAGGTGGGCGGCGCGTGTTGGGCGCTTGCGGGCCGGCACCGATGGGAAAGTCGGCGACAAGTAGGGTTCTTGGGAAATGCTTGCATCGGAGTGAGGTCTCGAAGACTTGTAATTAAGAAGTCGCGTGTGGCCTGTAGATCTCGATGGATGAGATCTGTCGACGCGAAGATATGTGTTTACATTTGTGCCAATTGGTTTGGGGGTGTTTTGGGTGTTGGGGGGGTTTGTGCGTGTGTGTGTGTGTGTGTGTGTGTGTGGAGAGAGAGGTTTCTTTTTTGGGGGGGAGGGGGTAATCAAGGTTCCTTTAAAGGAATTTGGAGAATGCGATGGGGTTGTCATTGCCGGACGGTGTTGGTCTGAAGAACAGAGACTGGCTTGGTTTTTACGTTTACACTTTAATGTTTACCCTTTTACGCGTGAAAACACATATATGTGAAAGGGGTTATTTTTATGTTTTTTACGGCTTGTTGGGACAACCAGATTACAATATAAAACTTGTGCACAATGGCCAGTCCTCTGCCATCTCTAGCACCTGCAACACAATGCCCACCTCGCCCTCAGCAAGGGCAAAGCCGGAATGGAACAAAAGCTCGTTTTCTACCTATTCCAGTGCGTCTCACTGCCACTTCCCGGACTTCCCAAGTTTGCGTGTACTATCTCATGTACACGGTACTGTATTTACATTGTATTACATATTTTTAGGTGCTTTTATGCGCAAAAACACAAAAAAATATATTTACGGAATAAAATGTAACTACGTTCTGTTTGGGGTGCCACTTTATGGGGTAGTAATGAGACTCAAAGTACACAATCGTTGGGTTGGTAAACGTGGTAAGAAGGCGCCCCGTATGATAAGCAAAAAAGAACCATCGAAAGTTGCATTCGCAAAATTCGTCATGGAAACCAGATCAAGCTACTTAGGGACATCAATGATGGACCAGGGAACTTCGAAGAGTTGCACATCGACGATCTAAAGTCACACCATCTTACAGACAAACCAAAAGAAGACAAAAACAAGACTTGGATTCTTTTTAAATGCTAGAGTATGCTTCTTTTTCTGTCCACAAGAATTCACAGTCAGAATGGGATATTAAACTCATGATTCACTCATACGCAACACGTTACCCCACAGCACCGCCCATGGAATCGATCCACAACACCGATCCACACCTCGAATTCACAGCACCAACTCACGATCACCAAATTAGCAAAATTGAAGCCAAATTTTGGACAATATCCTCCCACCATCTTGATCAGGTTGATGAATGTATCCACCATCCATCCTATGATTGCCTGACAAAGGTGGTTTTCTGGGATTCGGAATTTATATGAGTGTATCCTTTTAACCTGACTCTTATTTATGTTTTTGCTCTTCTCATTGAGTTTCACAAGACATCGGGTTTAACCACCGACCTCCAACCCATGAGAAAAAGGGACAACTATATATATGGTTGATGGTATTTCCTGAATGAGATGATCAAATGCCATAATTTGGTTCCAATTATCAGATTGCAAGTCGGCAATTGACAGAGCCCATTTAGTGGTCAATCTCTGGTAATTTGAACAAACATCTTAACCCGTTATGGCAGTTGTCACCCGTGATCCATGTTTTCATGCAAGCGTGATTTGGAAACAAAAATTGAATTGGAAGCTTGTGCTCCATATGTGATAATGAGATCATCCCATCATCGTAAATTGACCATTGGTATTTCTTGGCATATTATGCAGCTCTTAACTAACCCTAGCAATGATGAGAATATGGGCCCAAGAACACATTTTCCCCACTGCAATCTAGTATTCATAATGCGCATTTACTGTGCATAATTCGATGCGACTCAAATGGCGCAAAAGCATGTTGAAAGACGATTCCTAAACATGGAAGGTGGTGAGGGTGTCCATGTGGAAATTGACAACGACCATTGTCTCTCTCACTAGAGGCTATGTTTACGAGCTTTCCAACTCTGCTTGTTCAATAACGAATGGATTTGATGATTAAGATTTGAAATTTATATTGCGTCATTGTGTGGACCGAACGCATGAAAGGCATTGGCCATAGCCACAGAAATAAAACGATAGTTTTCCAAGCCAAAAGAGGCACCTGGCGGTACCTGGAGGATAAACACATCACCCTTTGGAAGTCGATGAATAGGTTGCGCTCTACAGGCAGGATATTTTGGTGTGAATATCTTTCTAGGTGGCTTGAGGTGGTGTTTGCTAGAGGAATCTTCTGTTGGCCCCCTATACACCCTCTTGCATAAGCAAGCATGCAACATTGTTGACACAATAGAAAAGATTATTGCACACACATTTTCTTAAGAAGGTTTTCCCATTGTGTGGCATGTTTTTTTGGAAGCGCAAAGGAGCTCAACATGCATTGTTGGGGAAACTTCTTGTCCAGTTGGCTTTGGAAGTTATGAAATTGAATGCACCATCGGAATCCCAAGTTGCATCGATTGTTCGCAGTGACTTTCCAAAACGCATGGGAATGTGTTTGACAAAGTAGCATCCAACTCCAAGCCCAAAACCGCTCACAAGAACCAAGTTAGGCTGAAAGCAGGCATACACTTTGTCCCAAGATTAGGTCGGATCTGATTCGTTAGCCCGACCACAAGTTTTCATCTACCAGAAGTCACTGGTCAAACAATGCTACACAAGCATGCATAACCGCTGGGTTTGACCACAACTCTGATTCAAACTCCTTCTTTAGTTGTTACAAAAAGCAACGGATGCAATATAACCTAAAGCGCACGCCAAACAGACTTGACCGCCTCCCTTATAATCAGAGTTTATTTATACCATCCGGAAACCGTCATCACATGATCCAACAAGTTGTCCAAACATCGAATTCTCACACCACCCCGAAGTTAGGCGTAGGCATGGTGGCTTGACCAACATAGAGCACAAAGGGCGTAAAATTCTAGCTACCAAGTCTAGCCGCACAACCAACCAAGTATTAGTGCAAGCATAGAAATAGTTGGAGAGAACATTGATGGTAAAATCATATCGAAATGCTAATTTAATTTTAACCATTATAGCGATAGCATGCTAGTCAAACCTCAATCGCTAGTTTGACTCAGTTGGTCATATAGAATGCAAAATGAAGCTTGAATTGATTAGAAAGTTAAACAAAACAGTTCAACATGAAGCCTTAAAATGAGGATCTAATTGGAAACTCATTTTGGCACCATCTCATCTTGATTGCAACCGCATTTTTTCCTTCCTTTTTTCTGCTGCTACATGTCTTTTTCCAGTCTCATATTCATCTCCCATCATATTTTTTTGTGTATGAAAAGAAAATAAAGTAGAAGAAAAAAGAAGAGTATACCTATTTTTCTTATTCTCTGCACATTTTTCTCCAGATAGCACATGTATTGGAGAGAGCCAATTCAGTGGTCTAATACTGGTAATCTTAAAAAAGCGATGCATACATTTATGATCAGAAACAAGATCAAAGCTAAGAGTGACTAATGGGGCTCTTTCCTATCGCCAAATATAGCATTCCTCTGAAGAGTCCAGACGTTGATGCGATGGGGATTTCTGGGCAAGTTGTGGATCTATTCTGTTGAATTCAATTGGTTGCTTGGAGTTTGGAACTTGCCTCAATTGGTTGTTACGATTGCTAACTAAGGACTCTAGTTCAAATGGCTATTTGGACCCCCCAG